GAACATACTTGAGATTTCCCAGAAGTGATACACTAGTAAACTTGTCATAGCCTCCTAGCATGTGTGTGGGGTCACTAGTCTCAGCATCAAACCACATTTTGGGTAGGATCAATCCCAGTTTTTCAGAGTGCCACAATAAACCAACAGAGATGTAAAAACACATGAACATAAAGCTGAAAAAATGGGAAGGAAAATTTAAATAAAAATTGTCATGCTCTGTTTATCGCCCTAGTAAACATGTACCTGGAGCACCGACATTGTTATAAATTAACTGACCACGTCGTCATGCTGTTCTGTATGTCATCCCCCTCCCCCACCTTAGTAACCTGTTTGCTGTGTCAACTTTTGTTCCCCTTGTAATAGACAAATGATGCTGTGTCAACCATTTTTCCCTTTATGAGAGACAAATGTTCCTGGAATTGGCAGACCAATGGCTATGAACTGGCTAACCAGCCACTGTGAAATGCCTCTGACCTCAAGCAAAGGGGAACAAAGGCCCATGACCAATGAGCTAATCATAAATGAACTATAAAAATCAGTCAAAATTCTAACTCAGTTGCACAGCTTTGCAAATTCCATCTGCACTGTGTTGCTGGGCCAGCTAAAATAAAAGCGCTTCTTTAAAAAAGACGTAATGGTCTTGCCCCGTTTATCATCTCGGGGGTCTTGCCCCATTTTTCATCATGGGGCCTTGTTTTTTGGGGTTACAACATAAATTAAAATACATACAAATTTTTAAAATAAAATAAAATATATACAAATTTATAGCTGTTATTTCTCTAAACACCGGATAAAGTAGGTTGAAAATCAGTAAGGTTAGAATACGAACACTGCCAACCAGTTTGAGTGAACTGATTTATACTCTATCCAATAACATTCACACTCTTTTGAAGCACACATAGGACAGTCACCCAAATAAACTTAGATGCTGTCTTAGCCAGGCCATAAAACAAGTTCCACCAAATTTAAAAGGATTATCATTTGGAATATCTGCTCTGACTACAGGGAAAATAACTAGAAATCAATAGATATCTGGAACAATGCCCCAAATGTTTAGAAATTAAACTATAACTAATCAGTGGGTCAACAATATTACAGAAAAAATCAGAAAATATTTTGAACTGAATCAAGTGAAAACAAATCCCTCTCAAAACTTACAAAAATTCAGCTAACACAGTGGATAAAGGTAAGTTTATACTTAAACTGTATAAGTTGTGTTTTTTGAGATAGGGCTTTGTTTCATGAGCCTGGGAAAGCCTTGAAGCTCTGAGCTTAGGTGATCTTCCAACTCGCCTCCTGGTAAAAAACACCTGACACCAACTACTTACGTTTCCACCTTAAAGGGCTAATGAGTAAAGTATAAGGAAGAAAATAGAGCTTAAAAAACTCAGATACCCACTTATAATTAAAATCACGAAATTTTATTGTAAAATATAACACATTAGAAGTACAAATATATGTACATGATATATATACCTCATGAAACTACAAATCTGTGTCCCTCCCAGTATAACCACTGTCCTAACCTTTATGCAAATGGTATCATTGCTTTTCATCATAAATTTTTTATTTTGTTTTTAAAGAGAATGAAACCAAACAAAATAAAACAAGATAAAGCCAATCAAAACAATGAAAATGATATAGGACTTCAAAACAAGATAATAGGAACTCAACAATAGCTACCATAATGCTTCTTTTATCTTCAAAATAGCTGTCTATACCATCAGACATATTAAAATCAACCAAAACAGAAAACCAATCAAAATGAAATGAAAACAAATAAAGGACTTCAAAATTAAGACAACAGGAACTTGACAATGGCTATCATAATATATCTTGTTATCTTCAAAATAGTTGCCTATGCCATCAGACATTTAAAAAAAACAAAATAGAATAAAATCAAAGAAAACAAAACAGTGAAAATGATACAGGACTTCAAAACAAGATAACAGGAAATTAACAATGGCTACCACAATGATTCTTGTTATCTTCAAAATAGCTGACCAGATCATCAGACACAGGCATGTAATATTAACCAACCAGTACAAGAACTAAGTTCTTTGTAGAAATTTCAGGTATATGACTTTTTTTTTTTTTTTTTTTGTCTTTTTCCTTTTTTATCGGTACTGGGGATCAAACTCACGACTGCCTGCTTGCAAGGCAGGCACTTATGCCACTGAGCTAAATCCCCAGCCCCATGACTTCTAGATGCTGTCTTAGCATCTAAGTCTGGTAAGTCTGTCTTTTGAACTTGGTCTGTGGGCTGGAGGTCTGAGATTGTATTTAGCTCCCTCAAATTGACATTCTCCTGTTTCTCTGCATCAGCCCATTGTTACATTCCAGCTGCTTCCTGCATTGGCTGCCAGTCCCTTGGGACAGGGTATTGGACTAGGAACCTGGGTTCCTCTGATCCAGAGTTCCTGGAGTGGTGGAGAGGCAGAATGATGGTTCACAGGTGCTCTTCTAATGGTGGTGGGCTCTGAGGGAATCGCTTCTTCTCCGGGCCCCAGGCTGGACTGCTGGATCCCTCTGGGCTGCCAGTGTGGGTCCTCAAGTTGTGTCTTCTTCTCTGGGCCCCACAGGTTCCCGAGATCTTTTCCAGCCACTGGCCCAGGGCCTTGGGTCATGGCTTCTATCAAGTCCATTTGTTCACAGGTTTGGCTTGGCTCTGTATTTCTTTGCTGATTTTCTGCCCAGTTGATTTGTCTCTGTGACATGAGGTATTTTCTGTCTAGTTGATCTGTCTCCCATTACAATTGTATTATTGTTTATCTGACTTTCCATGTCCACCAATAAGTTTTATAGTTCGATGTTCCCCTCAGTTACATATATATTCATGATTGTTACGGCATTTGTGCTGTCTCCAGCTTTCTCATTATTCCCAATCCTCGTGCTGTTCTTTGCTTCACTTTGTAGCTGTTCAATTGATTTCTCATAGTCTCTTGCTATTTTTGAGATGTCTTTCATGATCACTAGCTGCAATTCTGTCTTCAAGATCTGAAATTCTATCCTTTCCTTTATTCAATCTGTTGCATTTACTTTCATTGGGAGTTTTAATCTCCTGGATCTCTTTTTGTATGTTTCATAGACTCCATTTCTCTATGCTGAACACTTTTTGTTACCATCTTTTTCTAAGCTCATCTATTATTTGTGTCTTCTCTAAAATCTTTTAAGCATCATTTCTTTTCGTACCTTAGCAATCATTTTCTCTACAACCTGTTCTATTTGTTTTTTCACTTGTTATTTTAGAAAGTTCCAGCGTTTGGCTTCCAACTTCACTCATCTTGTTGAGTTCCAGGCCTGTACTTGGTGGGCTGGAGGGTCTGGGGCTGCACCTCACCTGTGTCTTGCCATACTCCACCTTCTCTTTTTTATTTTGCCTTCTATTTTGCTGCCCACTAACCTCCCATGATACAAAGCTCTACCACTAGCATTGAGGCCTCTCTCAAGGAGGAAAGGAGATGTCCTTTCCTCAAGAATGTCCTCCAGATGTAGTTGGTTCTTTGCAGCTATCCCAAGAACCTACCCTCTTCTGGTATTTACAGTTCTGTGATATGCATGTTGCATCCCAGAGATGTGCTGTGTGCAGAGTCCATCTTGACCTCTAGATGTGGAGGCGGAGACTGGTCTTCATTCAGTAGAGTTCTCCAGAGTGCAACTTCTGTCTCCTCACTGCTGCTTCAGATGCTTCCACATTACTGGCCTTGCTAATTACTTTGCTGTCCAGAGGCATGTCTGTGTGCCTGGGTTTTGGTCCCATCAGTCTTACACTCTTGCAGCTGGCCCATCCTACAGGATGCAATGTAGGAGGCCTGAATCACAAATGCAGTCTTCCAGCCAGCCTTGCAGTCCAGGATGTAATGGAGGGGCACAGAGCATAAACTGTCTTCCAGTTGGCTCGCACTCTGTGATGTAAAGGAGTGGGTGCACAGTGCACACTGTCTCCAGCCAGATCACAGTCCGGGATGTAATGGAGGGGCAGACTGTCTTCCAGCTGGCCCACCCACCTGGATGCAATGGTAGGACACCCAGTGTGGACTCACTCTTTCATCATAATTTTTCCAACCAATTTATTTCCAAAGTTGAGTTTCTCTACTTTTTTTTTAATTTCATGTATCAACTATACAATAATTAGGGACTTTTTGACCAATCACATATCTTCCTTTGTTAAATGCATGTTCAAATCTTAATGGTATTACTTGCCTTTGAAAAGATAGATTAAAAAAAAGATAAATCTCTAGCTTCACTGATCAAGGCCAAAGAGATGACTTAAATTACCAATGTGGAATAGGATTAGCCTAACCAACTTCTGTACATGACCAATATATCTGGCCCAAAGTAGTTTCCGTATGTAGTGAACTAAACCCTAGCTTAACATATACACAAACTGTAACTTAACAGTACCCTTATAACCAAGAACTGAGTGTTAGCCAACCACAAGCTGCTTACTGCTCAAATCATATTCATATAAGGCAAAGTAGACTGGGCCATGAAGTTGATTCTGTGTGTCACTTTCTTTGGGCTGGAATGGTACATTAAAGGTAACTAGGATACATCTTTGGACAGGGATGCTGCTCAGTTCTACAATCGTTCTTCCTTAAGGAAATCTTATTATTGAATTAGTCTGTTTTTCCTTTAACTCAAATAATATTAATGAAAGAAATCTCAGATATTAAAAATATAAGTAAATATTATAAACTTTGGGCCAACTAACTTGACAACCTAGTTTACACGTATTAACAAAACCAGTTAGGTTTTCAGGAATATTCTAAACACTCAGGTAAATTTCTTACCTTGTCCTCAGACCCAAGTCCAACCCCAACTCATTTGAAAAAGAGGACTACACATCAATTAGGGGGAAAAAATTTCTTAAATGACTACAATATGGGTTACACATCAAGAATTCAGATTAAAAACCATGGTCTTTACTTTTAATTGTGGTCTTCATTTGGCTTAGTGATTCCTGGAAAAAACAGATAAGGGTAAGACAGAACACCAGATTTACTGAAGATTATCATACTACCATTTATTGGAGAAGAGGAAAAAAGCAAAAAATAATCATTGTGATAGGAGGGAGAAAAGAAATGGTTTAGTTAGCAGCAATATTCTTTCTCTGTGAAATAAGTAAAAAGAAAACATTATACGAAATACATTCACAAGGTAGGACCAGTAGTACTCAAGAATATATCCTGTGATACAAAAATTGAATTATGCAATAAGTAGCATTCAAAATTAGTTGTATCTATACAATTATGAAAACTGACTCATTTTAACAAAGTATTTTAAAAGCTCATCATATTCAATAGGCATAATGTTTGTACAAATTCACCATATGCTCTTAATGAGATCAAAGTTCAGAGCATTATTTCTTTCCTTTCTTTCTTTGAGTTTGTTAAGTCAAGTAAAATATGAGGGGGAAAATGATAAAGTGAACACTTTAGAGAAGACCACAAAACTGAAGGTAAACCATAGTTCCCCTTTTAGACTACTACACCAACACTTAGCCCCACTCATTTCCTGCTGTGGCATGGACCTTCTGCTGGCACAACACCGGCCCAGATTCCAACCTCCCACTGATCTGGAGGGATGCCTCCTGAAGCTGTGTCCAGGCAGTCAGCCCATTTAGACCAGAGACTGGGTCCTTTTATTGTTGCTTTGTTTTGTGGTGACTGTTCATTAATATTGCAGCATTACTTTATTGTAAATTTACACATTATTATTGCTTGCTGCAAAGCTGTAATTTCCACTTCAAATAGCAAAATTTTTCCCACCTATTGGACTTGTTTTCCCTGGTTTCAAATCAGTCGGTCTCCAGAAAACCAAGTTCAGGGGTTGGGGGTGTGGCTCAGTGGGTGAGTGCTTGCCTAGCATGCACAAGGCCTTGGGTTCCATCCCCAGAGCCAAAAAGAAAAATAAAAAGTTGCTAGAAAATAATTTGGTACTTTTCTAAGTCTAGTGTCAATTAGCAACTCCTGCTGGAAAGGATGTGACTTGATCTTGTCAATTTGTAATAACAAAAGTTCTGCTACTCCCAATCTACTTCACAGCAGCCAACACCTGAGGAGCCAACAGCAACGCTTGAGTATCAGGTGTTGAGCATCACCTACATACCTGAAGTAGAACTAGAACTGACCAAAGTGGAACCAAATACCCGGTCTTGAGTGACCTGGGATCAAATAAACTCCACCACTCTCTTCATTCACTACACTAAAAACACACAAGATCCCAGAACTTCATGAAACTGTGAGTCTGGAGATACACATCTCTTAATTTTAATAAACATTTCCAAACAATTTAGACTTTATATATATATATGTATGAGGAGTTACACAGATATAACCTGTATTTAATTTCCACTGAAGTCTATCCATTTTTTTTAAAATGTTATCTGTAAACTGCTGTGTGTTACATGTACCAAAAACACCTGGGATGTTTAAACATTAAAAAGTATGCCAAAGATTCTACCAAATAGCTTAATATACCTTTAAACATTGATTACTTTTTAACTTGCTAGATACATTTTAAATTAGGCTATGAATTTTACAATATTCACAATTCTGTAGTGAAAGTAAACCACAGTTCCCCTTTAGGCTACTACACAAACACTTAGCCCCACTCGCTTCCTGTTGTGGCATGGACCTTCTGCTGGCGCAACACTGGCCCCTCCAATCAGAAGTTACCTGACAAAGGAGAAGGCAGGCCTGGTGTGCACTGCCTCGTAGGATGCAAAATCTGGACACAGAGCTGTACTTAAATTTCCCAGTTCACTATTTTTCATCACTTAGGTTGCAGAAGCAGAAGCCAAATTTTCCATACTTTTTAAAGGTATACTCCACTTACTAATTATTCTAAGGACAGTATCAAAAATAATTTTATTGGAATGTACTTCATGGTTTTATTTCTTGTGCTCTTAGCATACAGTGATTAGGTGAAAGGGAAGTGGTAATCAGGCAGATATTGCTCCAAGTCACCAACAAGGGTGTGATCAGATGTTCCAGCACTGAGAGCATCACACCAGGAAAATACTAACCATGCTTCAACCTTCCCAGAAACGAGATACCGTGAGCTGGGTGTAAGCAGCAGCCATACAGGAGAACCAAAGGCTCCCCCTGAGCTCACGGTGCAAAAGGGAAAGCCTTTCAGCTGGTTAGGCAGATGGGAATCACTGAGTTAGTTCCTCATCTGGCTGGTGAAGGGGGAGAGGCTGCACGGACCCCTTTAGCCAGCAGTGATCTTCCCAATGCCAAACTCGCAGAGTCAAGGCTCAGAGCAAGAGCACGTCCACCATTGGTTCCACACATCTAGAAGCTATGCATACTGCCAACTGCAAATCACCTCAATGGAGCAGCTAAAAAGGAACACAAGGAACAATCAAACTGCCCTCAGACCTAGAAGGCAGCTGCCAATAAAGGAGGTGAAAACAACAGCAGACAGGAGATGGTATGAGTGACACTAAGATGGGAACCAGAAAAGGCACAAATAGGATGACAGGAACAAGGAAAAGGGATCTGTAAGATTACAGATGATCAGGCATGATCAGAAACGTGCCAAAAAACAGTCACAAAGGAGGCTAAGTTGCAGTCCCTGGGCTCCGGGCTCAACTTGGTCACAACTGCAGCTTTGGATGGATATGGAAACAAACTCAGGCTTCAGTGTCCTTGACTGCACAGCAAGGTGACAACCCTTGCTTCCTTATAAGTCTTGGCTTCCATGATTGGTTCTTCCAAAAGGAAGAGCCTTGTGGCGACCACATTAAGGTTAGAGACAGCAAAGCACTGTGAAAAAGAGGAAAAAAGAAAGAAAAGCACTGTGGAGGCAGCCAGGCATCAGGTCAGTACTGGCCACCTGCAGGTGAGTGTCCTCACAGCCAGAGGTCAAATTCTGGGACTGCTCAGCGGTCATGGGCAGGAGCAGCCACTTCCCGCTGGCCCACAGCAGCGATCTGTCTTCCTACCACGCTGCCCTGGCCCCACTCCAGGGCAGAATGGAAAATACCATCAGTTTAAAAGCAAACATTTATAAATAATGAAGAGAAAAATGTACAGGAGAAAGCAGCAAGTTTTACCTCCTTTCAGCTCTTGTCCAAAAGAGTGAACAGTGTTTTCTGCGGCTTTGTTTTCTCTCTATCTAGCATCAGGAGATCACAAATAAAGATATGCGTGGGCACGGCACAGGGCAAGAGAAAAAGTTTCTGTGCTCAACACCAAAAAACACATTCCATAGTTAGGTGTGTTTCTGAACTGCAGAAGACCCTAGGTCTGCATTAGGAAAACACACAAATCTCCCAGATTCCCATACAACACCTCCCAGAGGTGTTGTGTTGTACTGCACGCCTTGGCCAGGCTCCTTCCAGCTTGGGTTGGGCAGAATCTCTTGGTCTTGGACACCAAGGTAGAGGCTGGGTGGCAGAGTGATGGTGGCCTCCATGCTGAGGGACAATCATGCAAAATCCATGTTGACACCAAAATTCTGTCCCTTACTGCTGTGCGCCTGTAATCTATGATGGAGCTCCCTGTGCTGTTTAGCAAGGTTTTTGGGTTTTTTGTGGGGTTTTTTTTTTTTTTTTCTGATAATTCAGTGGAACAGCATCTCAAGAGAAAACAGACGTGGGAGGAAGATCTTGCTCTGTAAGGCAGGACCCACCTCTTGTATAGTGTACCTTAGAGACACTGGGTTTGGGAACCTACTGCTGCTTGAAAGGCGACCCACAAATGCTCAAGTTGCACACACTAGTGTAAGATAAAAGGCACAGGTCTGTAAGACAGGTTGAGAGGGTATTTACAAAGCTGACCACCAGCTTCCAGCTGTGGTGCCTTCAGAGCTTTACAAAACTGGTAGTGTATTATGCAAGACACACAGCGAAACACTTCTTCACGGCGTCCCTAGGAAGCAAAAACACAAGAATGAATGGGTCATCCTCACCCACCCCAAAGCCTCCTTTCAAGTCTCCCAGACACAAGAGGCGCACAGTGCTGAGAGGAAAGCCCCTGGGTTCAGTGGGGTCAGACCTTCTATACCCAACATTTACACCTAGCATTCTCCTGGGCAAGTGCCTTGAGTTTCAAACCCCTCACCTATCACTCACTCACTGATATTTAATAAACGATTAGATACTACTCACTGGGAGTTCATAAATAATAGGAAGACGGGGATGAAACACAGACCGTTGGAATCTAAGAAATGAGTCAGGACTGCCGCACTTTACCAGCAGCCACCGTCACAGGATGAACTGCAAGCGTTAAGTCCACTGTCACTGGGGGCCCCTTCACTCCTCGCAGGCAGCAGAAGCCTTTCAAAGGCCATCTCTCAGGAGTTCCCCAGCACAGGCACCACACATAACAAACAGGCTCTATTTACTCTGTGGGGTTCAGTGCAAAGCACATTACTGTCCCTCCAAGCAAGCCTCTCACCTCTACAACCACACCTCACCATGCAATAGGACACAGGCTCAGGCCCGCTCTGTACTTAATACTGAAGCCATCGAGGCAGGCAAAAGTGAGTGACTGCACTGAGCTGAGGGGGTGCTATGCTCTACAGTGACGTCGCAATGACTCTAGGTGGCATTTCTTCAGTCATGTGCTACACTGCACAGGAAGGGCTTTGTAGCCAAATAACCAGCTCCAGCAGGCAGCTCAGGCAGCCCATTAAAGGATCTGGACACCTGGGTGAAAGGATCCTATCTAATTTGCTTAATTTGTTTCCCAAACTTACTTAATTACAGAACCATTTCTTTCACAGAAACAGTGAGCACTGTGGGGAAAGCTATACTAGAAGAAGCTACATACGAAAGAGTGAGATCTAGCTTTGTGAGTCCCTCCTCATAGTAAGAATCTTTCACGGGCTCAGCCCATGAAACTCATTACTTAAAACAGAACTACCTGTTCTTCCATTTAAGGTTTACACATGCCAAGCCAGACCACGCCTGAAGCCCTGAGGAGACACACAGCAGGCCTAGCCCCGTGGGGGAGACCTGGCCATTGTTAAGGGCCATGTACCATACTGTCTACTTTCATCTTGAAATTCTGCATCTTTTTTTTAACAAGGAACCCACATTTTTATTTTGCACTCAACTCTGTGAAATAGCATGTGGTTCAGATACCAAGGTACAGTCAAAACATTGGCAGGTTAGTATATATCTCACTGGGTCTCAGATATGAGAGGTTCTTGTTTACTTCACATAAACACAAGTTCCCCAACACCCCTGCCCATGTTCTTCTCAAACAAGCCACCATCCCTAAAATCAGCAAGGTCTGCATGGAGTATTTCACAAGTGCTATGGGCCTGGGCTCTAGGCACAAGCCCACCAACTGCATTTAACTTGACAGCTTGTCAGTTTCTCATCTGATCAGCCATCCCCCAGCACCTTCACATCACAATCAGTCACAGACCTGGAATACACAGGACTGCTCTTCCTCCTTCCCAGCTCATGCATGACTTTTCCTCAATTAAGGAAAAGCTTATTTTTAGTTAAAAGGTCATGACAGAGAAGAATGCAAATGAAATGACTGCATTAAAACAGGCAAAAATCATGTGGCTGATTTTGCAAGGCCATTCACGGAAAGTACTATTTAAAAAGACTCGAAGCAACTCCTGTTAGAGTTAGAGGGGCCTTGCAGGAATCATCGAAGCCAATCCACTCAAGTTATCAATGCCTCATTTGAGATCTGGTGGTCAGGAAAGTTGCCCAAGGCCACACTGCTAATTAGGAACCCTGCCCCTCCAGAGTCCTGGTCTTCTTTACTTTCCCTTTCTAAACTTATCTGAAACTTTCCCCTATGTGGGACATGGCAAAAGAACAAGCATAAATTGAAATCCTCCATCTCTTCCTCAGAGACATTAAACTGATGCTCACCTTTAAAAAAAAGAAGAAGAAAAAACAGACTCAAAGCCACAGATTAAAAAGAGTAACAAGGTGTGTTACATTTTTTATAGAGGAGAATGTTCCTCAAAACAGAAACTGGTAGCCTGGTCAACACCCATCATGAATTATATAATTGCAATGAGTGACAGGGTGACCCTTAGCTTACAAATCTATAAAATAGATACCTAACCTTTGCCTACTCGGTTCAAAGCATTTTAGTAAAAACAAATAATGTATTTGCTCTGAAACTAACTCTCTAAAACTAAAAGAACCTATACAAACATGTTATCATCCACAAATGACAGAAATTGTATTTCCAAATACACACTTACCTTGCAAATGGAATGAAGGAAAGGCTATACCTACAAAGAAAAGCAAACGAGACCAAACTGAGTGATGGGCTTGTGGAAGATGGCCCAGCCCAATGGGCTTCTGAGCTCTGAAGACGTGATTCCTCTGGGTCTGCGCTTCTCACCTGGTGGGGTGCATACACAGAGCAAGGCCCAGGCATGCACACAAGTGCACACACACATACACATGCTTGGGCTAACACATTATATGTCCAGTGATCACAGCAGGGGAAAAAGGACACTGCGGAGCTAGCCAGCCCAACCTTTGCCTCCACAGGGTACCCCTTTAACCAGCAGTGACCACCCAAATAGGCAGCACCCAGACATTCAGGTGGCTCAGGAGCCCTATTCAGAAGAACTACAAATAAAATCCACAACACCTGTCCTCTAACATTTATAAACCCTCTCCAGAAGTTGATTTCAACCCAATTAGGATACATTTTTTGCTCTGCTCCTTTTAGTTTTAAAAGAAAAAAAAAAAAACTAAAACACTTCTAACTATTCTGAGTTAAAATATAACTGAGCTACAATTCTTGAAGAACTAAAGTCCAGAAGTGCCTTGGAAATTCCAGTTGGTTCAGCCATACTGCCTAAAGGAAAACACGACGGGAGCCACTTCACCCCACTAAACATCCAGACACCGTGCATCAGATGGGATGCAAGGCTGTCAACCCCCAAAACAGCAAAAGTCAGAATATGCTGGAGTTGAAGGGGAGGGATCTTTCACTGCATCCCTTCAGAGGCTGATCCCTCAAACCTGGTTGCATAATCACTCTATAAACAAAAAGGGGCATGTGCATGTGGGTACCAATTCCCACACCTGAAGAAAACCAAACTATGAATGCAGCCACCAAAGTCAGCCCTTTCAGCACTTTCTACCAAAATATGTGTGTCACACTAAAATCAGGCCATCACTCTGCCTGGATCTCACATCTACCGTGTGCCAAAGCTCTTGTACATGTAAACAAAGTAAACTCCAAGACGCAGCTTGGAAGCATAACTGATCAAAGTACCGCACTATTAAAGGAAGGGTGGCTGCTGTACCTTACAAGCTCAAGTCACTCCCACCAAACTGGAGCTCACTGACCCTGGGGAGCTTTCAGACATCTATGGTCTTCCCTTTCCCTCACCTTGTAACAAAAACATTTTTTTTTCCCACAACTGATGAGTCACAACTATCCTGAGTCTGTTCTGGCAAAAACACCCCTCAACAAATGCTGATAGGATCGTGGAAACATCTCAGAAGCTATGGATTCCACACTTGCCCCTTCCCTTTCTCTTTGACATTGTGCTGATCCAAAGGGGCTCTGACCCTAAAGCTCCACCCAAGGGTCTGAAAACCCATGCCTCCTGCAGCCCTTCCACTAGGCTTGGCCCTTGAGTTACAATCCCCTATCTTCACCTACGGCTTGTAGGGCACACACTGTTCCTGCAGCCCACAGTGACATGGCTTCCCATGTCATCAGCCTTGGCTCCTCCGCTCCTGACAGTCCCCTTTGTCTTTCTGTTAAGTGATTCATCCCATCACAAGTATGACACTCATCATTTACCTTACTATTCTCCTCTTTCTGTTAACGTCTATGTGACTCACAGCCCCTTTGTACCAATCCTTACAACACTGTGAATACCTCTGCACTTATGGGACAGGAGTGGCAGAATACCATTTGTCCATCTCAAGACCACTCGCAAGCTCAGCAAAAAAGCCCTGGTCACAGCCTCCCAAGACCCCTGGAGACCATGAATGCCCCGGCTGGTGAGCAGACAGCTCTGGAGCCGGACTTCCCCGACAGTACTGAGAACTCTGAACCTGGAAAGCTTCTGCATTTTGCCAATCCTCCCCTACCCTGCCAGCACACTGGCTTCTGTTCCCTTCGGCTGCTGAGTCAGAGGGCTACGTGGGAGAGGGCTGCTGAAAAGGTTACCTACCACGTCAAGGCCAAAGACTGCAAAATGCAGAAGATGAGCGCAAGTCCCTTGTTATGCCACTGAAAGAAAGTTGATACAGTTACAGGAAACAGGTGACAAGGGGCATAAACTAAAGTGGCTACAGAAAATTAAAATACATACTCACCCAAAAGGCAGAACACAAGGTAAGGGTAAAGCACAACTGGAAGAAGAGAGGAAACATGAATTATCACATAACACCGAGCTTTTTAAAAACCCCACACAGATGTACCGTTCTTAGCAAACAGCACACTCATGAGGATGCAGGAGTTTAGAGCTTCACACAGACCGACTGAACTTCCATCTCATAGCATTTAACCCCTGAGCATCCATGACTGGCAACAGAGTTAAAAGCTCATGAAATCGAACCGGCCAAACTAGCAAGTAGTGCAGATTAAAGGGAAAGATAATAAAATCACCTCCCTTGGCCACATATTCATCCGCCAAGTTTCTATTCAGACATACTGAAGTAAGCTTAACGCCTGCCTCTGTATTTTAACTCTTGCCAAGCACTAGTCTCTAGTGTGAAAGGGCATGTGAAGTCAAAGATCAGTGTGAGATGTCAATCTCACAGTCAGCAAGCCAGGTGCTTGTTTACCTGTCACCTGACACTTTTTCCCTAAGTCCTTTCCTAGAAAGCTCTTTCCAGCAGACACTTGTTCACTTAAGAATAGCTGGAGCTTCTGCCACCACCTGTGCCTTCCATCTCTATCTCTCAATAACAGAAGCCACACAACCAGCAAGTCCAGGATATGCCCTTGTTGACACGAAATCAAAGCACACAGTCACGGCTTTGGAGAATGTACCGATTTGAACAACTGAGCTGTACACAAGGAACTCAAAGTACGTTGTCCAAATGTTGCAATGCTAATACTTACACCAGAGTCCAGCAAATAGTCTGAAACTATTTTGACAGCCACATGGAAGACTTTTCAAAAATGGGAGAGGTATTCTGTGTTGATGGGAAGAAATATATGGCCACATGAAGGTATGGAGCAGGGCACAGGGTGGTGATGTCTCCTCCAGGAAGACTGGTGAAAATGAGTAACCAGATGGCAAAGTCATATAACAACATGGGAGAATAAAGGCCATCCTGGGTGACTGGAGGCCACTCTGTAGAATGAATCCAAATGTTTCTGGGTTATGCCCTTGAAGCTTTGTCTATACGTGGCCCAACAAGGTTCAAGTGGCAAATGGGACCAACAGCACCCTCTGTAGATACTTATTGAACTGGCAGAGCCTTGAAACCAAGGAAACAAAGCCTGAGAAGCAGACAAGCTTTAGACAAAAAAAAATGCTCGCCTGCCACAGAATTTCAAAGATTGGGTAATAAGATGAAATGTGAGGTAAAAAGGGGGCCCTTGAGTTTAGAGGAAAACATTCCATGCAGCAAAAATAAAACTCCACACAAAAAGCACGGAGGAAAAGCAGAACTCACCAGCACCAGGCTTGTGGCAATCAGTCGTGTGGGCTCACACATGCGCTTCAGCTGCTTCACGGGGCCCATGAGGAAGATGGTGCTAGGAGGCAAACACAGGCGCGGCTGCTCAGAGCACAGTCACCCAGGCATGTCACGCAGCTAACCTGAGAACACGGCATCTCCGCCACTCCGGGCCCGGCGCTGTGCCTGTAGACCACTCTGCCTTCCTCTCACCCACTCCCCCAACAACGTGCTTATGGGGTGTGAGGGAAAGACCCAGAGAAGGCTTCGAGTTTTTAAACCCCCCTCGCTTTGAACACACTTATCCCATCTTTCCTGCCACTTTCTGAAGGAGCTCTGCAAGTCCTGTCATGCTCGTCTTTAGCTGGTCAAGGTCATTTTCACTTTGGGGAAAAGCCAGCAGCCACATGGTGCCAAGGACAGTGAATGAGGTGGCAAAGGGCAGCTCACAATACTTTCACCTGGCAGAAAAGGGCACAAATCAATCAATTCAGGACATCAAGGCGGCCGTAACAGCACAACTAAAGACATGCACAAAAGACTTCATCCAGAGCCACTTAGGAAAGTGGCAAGAACGATGGGGTAAGTGTGCTTCAGTAGAGGAGAGGATGTGCGGAGGGGTAATGGCAGTGCGCTTCTTCCTAGGATAACTTTTTTAAACATTCCTCATACATTTTGACAGCCCCTTATATCTTACAGAAGAGGAACCGCACAGCAGGTTACGTACCCAGGCCCCCCGACTAACAGCGCTGCGCTGGACTGCAGCTGTACTGGCTCTGTCCGACAGCCACACTCACGCACGGCTCAGTGACCTCTCTAGGGGGCCATCTCAAAATCTACTGATGGGAACCAAAGACCAAAAGGCTCAGGTAATTTAAAAAGAAAAAACCAGGGGCTTAGGTTGATGACATTGAAAAACCAGAGCATTTCGTTTTCTTTCATAATCTCCAGAGTGATTTTAATGACAATATTATCTAGTATTTGTCAAATATTTGCTGAATATCAGATATTACTATACATACGTTATTTGTTACATCCTATTGACAACTTTTCAAGTTAGGCATTTTTTGTTTTTATTTTTGGTTTTTTTGGACAGTCTCATTATATAGCCCACGCTGGTCTCAAATTTGTGGAAATCCTCCTGCCTCAGCCTCCTAAGTGCTGGGATTATAGGTATGTACCACCACACTCAGGTCGGTTAGGCATAACTAGACTGTACTTATTTTAGAGATGTACAAAGGAGGCTCAGAAAGGTTAGTTTACTTCAGTATTACACAGCTAAAAAGAAACCAAACGAATTATTAACATGTATTATATACATGAACCAAGTTCCCATGATGAATGTAATTATTATGTACTGCAAACATATTCTAATATGTGTACACAGTAAATTAAAATAAAACATTAAGTGTACCATACAAAAAAATTACAGATTACAAGTAAGGCCACAAATCCTAGTTACTCCCAGAAAATAACCATTTTCTCCCTTTGTGACTTCCTAGATGGTGCTATGAAACATACATTCCCTTAGGAGTTGCTCCAGTGCTCCTGAGGACTGTGCCACACACCGTGTAATTATGCTCAAGTCTTGGCTACACATGTAATCTACACTGCCCGCCCACAGCCCCAAAAATTAGTATTTGGGAAACTTTGAGAGGCAACATTAGACACCTCTGAGGGCCAGCACCCTGCTGTCATACACATTTATCAAGTAACTTCAAGCAGGTGACCAGATTCACACACTCAACCATCTATTGGACTTCTCCAGGCGGACATAGATCTGACTTTGGATAAAGCTGGGCATAAGTGAGAGCTGGGCCTGGCCCTTGTCAAATGACCTAAAGATTCAAGTGTAATAAAATGCTACCTGTACCATCACATAGCTATACCGCTAAAGGAGGTAGCCATCAACTCAGGGGAGAAGGAAGCAACTAGGAAAAGCTTCCTGGAAGAGGTGACTTTTGAGCCTGGCCTTGACAAATGAGCAAGTGCCCAGCCAGTCCAGGGGCTGGAGCTGAGTAGCTCCACAGCTCAGCAGAAACAGCCTGGGTACAGGAACAAAGGAAGCAGAAAAACCCAGCGGAGGGATGCTGAAGGCCTCAAGAGAGTGGGATCTGGGCCAAAGCTAAGACCACTCAGACATCACCTTCTCTACAAAACTGCCTGACTCTGCGCCAGTGGGACTGGCTGCCCCTCCCGGGTACCCCTCACCCCTCTCCTGCTTGGCACCAGTTTGCACAGCTGTCTGCTGCCCAGCTGGCTGGTAAGCTCCTCAGGATAGGGAACAAGCCCTATTTATCTCTGTAGCCTCAGAGTCCAGCAGCATAATCAATGATTCCCCAGTGAGCATTGAAGACAATGAGGGACAAATGGCCATGGGGACAAAGAGAAAGGCAAAGGAGCCAGGTGAGCAAGGCCAACAACCAGCGTTGGGGAACAGTCACAAGGAGTGGGACAATTTGGAACCTAAGACCTCTGTGCCTTTTAGAAATACAAGATGACTGAGTTCAGGTTCCTGTGGGCCATTCAGGCAGAGGCCAGGCCAGCACAGCCAGCTGGAGAGGCAGGGTAGGAGATTTTGCCACAGTAAGGAGGAAGCCTCAGAGTGAATAAGCTTGACCTGGCTTGCCTGTTTGCCAGCAGTGTACACAATGCTGCCACCTCCAGAAAGCACCCACCCAAACCCTGCTGCATGAGCTGACACTGTGCTCTGGGCTGGTCAGACGCTAAGGCATAACGGGTGAGTGCTATAAGAACTCTCCAGTCAAGTCAGGGAACCAGCGCCATGTGTGCACCACCACCAACCTGGAAGAGATGGACCCCAGCCTCTAGCATGGGTCAGAGCCATTCATAAACCAGGAGTAGAGAGAACAAAGCCACACCAGCAAGCAGCCCAGTTTGAGAACCAGTGCCATCCACAGGCTGCCACCTGATTGGAAAAGACAGACCCCAGCCCTTCCAGCACGCTAGCTGGCAAACAAAAAGTACCAACAGTCCCCCACCCCTCTCTGTAAGCGAGAGCTTATCCAGAGAAACACAGGCCGTGCTGATATCTATGGAGGTGATATCTATGAAAGTGCAATTGGATGGCTGTGGTGCTTTGGTGTTTCACTAACTTTGCAGGTCTAGGGCCAGTGGTCTGATCATAGGTCCAGAGGATAGTGGTACGCAGTGTGACATCTAGGGGGGAATCTCCTTCTGAGGGTTGCAGCCATTGTTGATTCCCTATGGTCTTGTTTTGAAGTCCTATATCATTTCCACTGTTTTGCTGGGTTGGGTTTTACTCTCTTTTGTTTTGTTTATGTCAAAGCTGATGGCAGGAGCAGCTATTTCAAAGATAGCAAGATACATTATGGTAGCAATTTCGGATTTACTATTAGCTTGTTTTGAAGTCTTTCACTACATTCAATGTTTTGTTTTTATTGTTTCTATTCTATACTGTTGTTTACTATGTCTGAAGTTATCTGCAGCTATTTTGAAGACATCAAAAGGCATAATGGTAACTACAGTTAATTTCATCATGTTTTGAAGTCCTGTATCTTTTACACTGGTTTGTTTTTATTGGTTTTATTGTTTTATACTCTTTAAAATTAAAAAAAAAAAGAACCATTCACTCAGGCTCTGAAGCCAGTGAGACTAGCAACAGGAAGGATCCATCTAGATGCCCACAGCTCTTACTCATGACAGATCAACGCCGTAATGTGACTCTCCTTCTTTCTCCCCAGGAACTTCAAAGACAAACTAAGAGAAGACATCTGTGACACATTCTAACTACCTCTTTCTTCTCCAAATCTTTAAAATCACTGTAGCATTTGCCTTCACTTCCCCCAAGCTCAATCTGTATCTGTTTTTCCATCTACTGACTGGCAAAGAGTAGGTTAAAAAGTGGTTACCTCCCAATTGATGCAATGTTCCCCAAGGTGTAAAACACTGCGAACAGGGAGATTCCCTTCTTGGGCACCCATAGCAGAAGAGTTCCCTGGAAGACAAGCACAGGACATTTGCACAGAGGCAACCCTCCCACCACACCCACACCTGGGAGCTCACAGAGGAGCCTCTCCACGGTCTCTCTCTCCCACTCTCTCGCTCTTTTTTCTTTTTACAGCACTGTGAATTGAATCCAAGGCCTGCATCCTGAGCTACATCCTCAGCCCTTTTTTCACTTTTAATTTTCAAACAAGGAAAAAATTTTTTTTGAAACAAGAAAAAAATTAATTTGAAACAAGGCCTTATAAAATTGCTACATTACCCAGCCTGGGCTTGAATTTGCAATCCTCCTGCTTCAGCCTCCCAGGATGCTAGGATACAGGTGTGCACCACAATGCCCAGCCTTCCTATCCATGCACTTCAGTGAAGAGCAAAAGAGAAAAGGATATTGATGAAACAGGGAAAAGGGAGGGAAACCTTACCAACAGTGAGCAGAGAATTCCTATAGCAAAGCAGGCGATGAAGCCTTTTATCCTGGTACCCCAGCTTAACGATGATGCTTCGACAACCTGAAATTTTAAAAAAAAAATTACCTATGCACATTTACCAAAGCAAAAGAAGCACAAAATAATTTAGAAGTGGTATTAATTTGTACTGCAGAAGACAGGGAGAATAGAATCCTATACACTGATAGCTATAGGAGGACATCAAATCCAGCTCTTGTCAAAGCTGCTGCTTCTCTCCAAAAGGTGACACAAGGTCCTCATGCCTCTACAAGTTTCTATAGAGGTGAAGACTTCCTGCTTCAGGTATAAACAAGGAGGCCAGCCATCGAGCCCTGGAGTAGCCCAAAACCTTCTGACAGCCCAGCAGGAGAGCCATGACTGGAAAGGCCTGAGATCCACCAGACAGGGATCCAGAATATAGGGTGCACCTGGATGCCCCATCATCCTGTCTTAGGACTAGCAGCCCAGCTGCAGGGGGGTCTGCAGGGGGTAAAGCCTGGCATCCTCACCATGGACCTCTATGCTATTCACCATCACCTACCTGCTTGCTTATCTCCAAACGACCACGGATCAGGGTCTGACATTTTGGGATGGCTGATCCTCTGTCAGAGCCTGACACATTAAATAAATCTGCCTCCAAATCCTGGGTGACATTTTGGTGTTTCTGTTTGCTGCTGCACCACTATATCAAAGATGAAAACCAAACCTCGACCTTCCTGGGCAACCCTGTGATGCAAGAGGACATCAGTGCTCCCAGTTAGACCCAGGCTGCTTCAGTGGAAAGCCAAGTTCAAGGCAGGTCCAAAGATAGTTATGCAGGGCTCCCCTTGGGGACACTGTGTCTGTACCCCACACAATGCTCCAAGCTGCCTACCACATTCCACTCTGCTGATGGAGGGAAGCAGTTGATGATACAGACTACAAGGGACGCTCAGGACTTGTTTCCAACCTGTCAAACCAGAAGGTGAAAGAAAAGGTCCAGCGACTCCACCGGGTGTGGTAGCTACTGCTACAGAATGGCTTTGTCTCCACTTATAAGGAAGGTATGTGGGTCATCAAAAGGGTTCTGTTCCCACTGGAACTCAAACAGGTTCCTGATACTACAATCCCACACTTGCACAGCAGCAACAGCAGGAGCTTATGACAGCATATGACCCTACATAGGGGCAAACTCAAGAGCCAGCACAGAGCTAGAATACGGCAAAGGAACCATCTGCTTCCACACCAAGGACCTCTCCTCCTTGAGGAATCTATTTCTTAAACTGCCTCTGGCTCTAGAATGAGACACCCCACGCTGTTACCAGTTACCAGTTAGTAGTCACTCGGCTCAAACAATGGAGTTAAAACACTTCTAACCAACCATGAAACTACCCTTCAAGGTCAGGATAAAATGAAAACTTAATCTATCTTCCCATTGGAGCAAGAACAAGAACTCACCTTGCCAGGGTAAAAACAAAAATGAAGCTGCATGGAGGGAAATAAAAAAAGTACCCGCAGACTCAGAACAGAGTTGATACCTGAGCATTGCTTGTCATCAACAAGGATACTGAAGGAGAGTCAACCTTTAAAAACAAGTTTTTTTAGGGCCAGGGGTATAGTTCAGCAGCACAAGCACCAGTTCCCTGCAAGCACAAGGTCCTAAGTTCAACTTTTGGTACCAAAAAAAAAATTTTTTTCTAACAAAATGTGGTTAAAAAGCACATTTCAATTGGTCATGGCATTCAGAGTGCTAAATAATCTCGATGCAACAATGAGATTCCGGCTCTTGTAAAAATTAAAATCTCTAGCAAGAAAGAGAAGTTCTACCAAAAACATGTTTCTAGTTTCTACTTTCAGAAAGCAAAGTGGCACTTTGGTTCCACAAGCCTGTCAAGTTGAATATATCCAAATGTTACCAGTTGTGTGTTAATACGAGAAAGGGGTAAATTCACCATTGTTTTCTGCTGGATGTGGTCAGAGAGGAAGGAAGCCACTGTTACCCTTCTAACTGGACTCAAAGAAAGCAACACACTTCTTTTTGAAAATTAGTTCACAAGAGGCATTGTGGTAACCATTGTTGATCACCTTGTATTTTGTTTTTACAGTATGTATTATGTCCATCCTTTTGATTTGACTGACTCTGTTTTGTTATGTCACATTTGGTTTTATTCTCTTCAAAAAAAGTAATAAGAACTGTGGGAGTAATAAAACCCAAAATGTGCAATTGTCATTGTACAAAAGAGAGGAAAAGAAAGTGCTCTAAAGGATATAACTGCATGTATACTTAAGTGAATAAGATAGATAACCATATTACTGAGTTTTGTTGGATCATTGAACAGAATTGTTTGCAGTCTCACTGTTTGAATGTCCACTTTATATGCTTTAATTTTGTAACTTGAACAACTATTTCTAAGCTGACAATATGTAATCTATTAACTAGTGATTTCCTACTGTTTATTTTTTCTGAAATTCTGTATAACTTGTACCTTTTCTCTGTTTTTTTTTTTTTTTTCCTTTTCTCCTTAAATAAAATTTAAAAAAAGAAAATTAGTTCAGAGTTGAGGACATAGCTTAATGGCATAAGCACCTGCCTGGCAAGCACAAGGTTGTGAGTTTGATTCCTGGTTCCCCCAAATAAAAAGAAAGGAAAAGAAAAAAAAATTAGTTAAATGGATGTAAAAGATCTCTCTAAATCACAGTTGCTGGAAGGTGTAGTAGTACACAGATTGACTGATGGGCTTGAGTTTTTGGTTTTGTTTTTTGGAGGGGGTTTTTTGGCAGGGGGAGGGAAGAATAGAGCAGCTAACAGTACCTGGATAGAATTTGCAGGCAATGTGTTCAAAAGTTGTCTGACCAGCAATCATGCACAAAGATCCCTTTGACAACAGGACACAGAAGGAAGAAGGGCTCTTGCCAAGAAGTAGAGGTATGAATTATTCTGGAAACGAGACTGGTAACCACAAAAATGTAAGATAAGAATTGTTTCACGCCTGTGATTTAAGGTCAGATACTGTTCATACCTGCCTTGCCCCAAGAATCTTTCATAGGAAACACAACACCTATACTTTCAGGAAGAGGTCCTCTGAAACTAGGACTTTAGGTGAGTCTCTGAAGTATCAATTAGGAAACTCAACAAAAGGCTGATTATGATTAGACACAGCCATGCAAACTTCGTATCCTCCTACTAGAGCTAGGTCTGAATTACTCACAGTTTTATGGTTTGTAACAAAATAAGAATTTTAGAAAACATTCCTGTTGATAATTGAATGTGAAGAGATTCTTAAGGCCACCTCCTCTAGCTTACCCTACAAATAAATACCGTAACAGAATACTCTAGCACTGCTAAACTCAGAACCATGAAAAATGTGAGATGATCCCATTAACATCAATATTCTAAAGGAAGCCCTGACCTTGTAAGTGAAAACTAAGCCAAAGAAGCCTAGAAAAATCAGGCCTGTCGGCTAAGAACTGATCCAAGGAGTTCCACTGCAAAAGTATCACCCAGTCACACTCTGAGCAATCACACATGGAAAGAGGAAACTGACAGCAGTATTTCAGAACACAAGAAAAGCAACTAATCTTTAAAAAGTAGACGTACATCTGCCTTACAACAGTGAAGTCCTGCATTGTATCCAACACAGGCATTCACCATGCGAGGTAAAAATTCAGCGTTTATGTTTTCAAACTAAAACAGCACTGACACCGCTGATCGCTAAAAGTGCCTGCATCACCCTGATGTCAACACTCCACCCGCAAGTCTTCAGAACACAAAGTGTTTCCCTCAGTCCAGAGTGTGTAACAGCTTGCTAGCAGCCTTAGAAGACAAGGAGAGTCAACTATTGTCACATCTCTGTCACCTCTGAAGTTCAACATGAGGGTCCGTAAGAGAGGCCAGAAATCAATTAAAAAGAACTCAAGGAACTATCTCGGAGCTCTAATGAGTGAAGGCAATAATTTATAAAGAACCCAGCAAGCTACTGTGGAATATATGTATTTTAAAAAGTGGAGCCTCGGGGCTGGAGATTTAGCTCAGCGGCATAAGCGCCTGCCTTGCAAGCAGGAAGTCGTGAGTTCGATCCCCGGTACAGATAAAAAGGAAAAAGACCCAAAAAAAAAAAAAAAAAAGTGGAGCCTCAATTCTCTAACACTTGATTCTTAGTGTTAAGGTGACCAACTGGAAGGCAAGTTGAGATTTCAGAAGGGCTGGAGGAACCAGTGCCAAACAAAACAACCCTCAGAATAAAATCAGCCTCAAATGCAACAGGTGAGAGCAACAGACTGAGAAAACCAGGAGAAGCAATGATTAAAGTGAGGAGGCAGGGCTCCAGTTAAGCAAGTTTCCTGTTTCCAGACAGGTTTCCGTCTTGCTCGACACCTCGTTTTACAGATGGAAAAGCTAACAAACCAAAAAATAAAACGTGACTGTGTCTTCCAGAAAGGAAAACAAAAAGCAAACTGTGACAGGGCCCAGAATGGAAAGGCATCACCCTGTGTGGCTCACGCAATCCTTCCGCGTAAAACAGCAGGCAGCGCCCGGAGTCCTGCGCGTCGGCGGAGCGCGGCCGGGCGCGGACACGGCGCAGGGGCGAGGCCGGCGGCCCCGGGAGCGCACGGCCGGGCGGCGGAGTCCGACACGAGGACAGGCCAGGTGCACAGGGGTAGGGGTGGGGGTCACACGCCGCGACCCTGGCCCCACCAGCCGCGCTCCAGGGACCCAAACCGCGCGGCTGCCCAGAGGTGACGGGAACGAAAGCGAAGAGCCGCTTTCCCGAGCAATTCTGAGGTCCTGACTTCGCCTCGCGCCTGCAGGGGTCTCACCTCGGACAGGCCGCTGCGGTCCTCGGTGTCCTGGCCGCTCAGCACCTTCTTCAGCTTGTCCATCCCGAGCCCGGCCCCGGCTCCGGCTCAGGCCCTCGGCGCCGCCTGTTGCTCTCCGTCCGCCGAGCGCGCTTCCGGGAGCCCCGCCCACCCGGCGCGCCCCGCCCACCTTCCGGGCCGCCCCTTGCAGTTGGGCAAAGGTCTTCCCGGGAGAGCGTCGCCAAACCCCGGAGCCGCACGCCAAACCGGAAGTGGCCGCTCTCCCGGGGCATTCCCTGATCCACTCTGCGAGTGCTGAGCACCGCCTCCTGCGAGGTTGTGGAGAGGCTAGAAAGGTGAAGCTTTGTGCAGACTTCACGGGAGAAATTCTTTTAAAAAGATTCTTTTAAAGAAAAATCCCTTGAGGGTAGAAACTGGAAGAAATTCAATCTTTAACAAGCTTTGTGGATATGTAAAATAAAGTCAAACACCACCACTGTCATTCCCGCTGGAATTGCATCAAGAAGTGTGATTTGGGCCAAAATCAAGGATCCTTTGAACTTGGCCAAAGAAAAAGGAATCTTGGATTTCTTGGTGTTTATTGAACGATTCGTCTTACTGACTTCAAGCCAGACTCCAGCTCGGATAATTCCATGATGGAGAATCCATGCAACCCCACACTCACAGCCAAAGACAAGTACATTGCGAATTGCATGCTGGGGAACATCTGGAAAACCTACTTCAAGATTAAGTCGGCGCAGAAAAGTCTGCGGAGAGATTATTAGGAGCATCTCTACCTCAATGACAGCACCTTCCCGTACAGAATATTTACAGAAGAATAGAGCTACTTTGTCTCGATGGGGAAAATGCAAATACTACCAAGAAGCTGAACCTGTTAGAAATTATTGAGTGTCTAAGCAAAGGATTTGCAAAGAACCCTATTTGCTTAAGTCATGTGCTTGTGATTGACTGCTGATGCGACTTTGTGAACAATCACACATGCTTTGATTTTACAATCTGAATTTATCTTAGTCCTTGAATAACAGTGCTGCTGCTATTGGGTACTCAGTATTGGTCACTTTGTAGTTGCCAGGACAAAACACTTGAAAGGAGAAGCCAGGCTTGGTGACACTCACCTATAATCCCAGCATATGGGAGGTTGTGTCAGAAGGATCCTGGCAAGTTCAAGACCATCATGAGCTCAAGGACAGCCTGAAGTACATAGTGAGACCCTGTCTCAAAAACAAAACAAAACACTTGAAGGGAGGAGAGGTTTATTTTGGCTCCACAGCTTCAGTGGGTTTCATCCCTGATAGTCTGGCCTCAAGAGAAAAATGGCATGGAGGTAGGGCCTGACGGGGAAAAACTGCTCAGATTATGGTTCAAGGAAGCAGAGAAAGATGGGAGGAGCCAGGGACAAGAACACACCCATTCAAGTCACACTGCAGGTAACCTATCTCCAACCAGCCCAGTTGCCTTCTGCACTCATCAGTGGGTGAGTTCCGTGATGAGTTTGGTGCCCCCACAAGCCAGTCACCATCCAAAAACACGAGACTGAGGAAACATTTTAGACCTAAACCTTAACAGCTCCTTGCTGTTTTTCCACTCAGATTTTTCAAACATCAGGACATAGTGCCACCTCATTCACTTTGGAGATAGGAACATCAAAAATCTGCAACCCTACCATTGCCACTTAGTAGGTGTGTGACTCAGAGAGAGTTATTTTGTTATATAATTCAAGAGCTCAGAGAGACCAAAGGGAAACAGGACTTCATTAGGTATACACCTGGCTTAGTGGACCTCTGTCCAAGAAGATTGAGCACTGAACAGGGGAAAAACTCCTATTTTTATACGTTTTTGTGAGGGGGTTGGCCCAAAACAGGAAAGAGGTGTAGAAGCTGAGACTAGTCTTGAAAGCAGACAAATTCCAGGATGTCACAGGACTCTTTACAGGGCCACAATTGTAGGCCTTATCAGCATCAGAGAAGAAGTCAGCCTTGCAGGAAAGCAGATTCCTGAGAAACCAGGACACTACAGAACTCTGCCTACAGGAGTTGAATTGTTAACCTTTTCTGTAGTCAAGAAATAGCAGTTATGGAACTGAGGGGGAGGGGTGGAATTTGAGGGGAACTGACAATGCTGGAAGGAAAGAAAAATTTGTTTTTCTCCAAGTCCTACTTTATTCCCAACTTTGATAATCTTTATAAACAGCTGTAAAGTATCATCATTGTCATTTATTTTGTCATTGAGGAGTGATTCCCTGTTGAGTAGAGGTTGGTACCTGGTTAGTGCCACAGTGGGGTGGCAGAGTGTCTGTCCACCAGAGTCTACAGCTGACTGAATGTTTTTGGTAAGTAGAAATAGAAGGGAGAATAAGGCAAACTCCTAAGATGGTCACTACTACCCCTTTTGGGGTTTTGAACCCACCAAACAATGAAAACCATCCTCCAAAGAAGGTGCCTGGTGACCATCTTTTTTCAATTTTGGACTGAGACATGAGCTAACCTTTGAGTTCCAGCAGTAATGTTCTCAGTAACCTTGCCATAATGTTTCCTAACCAGTTGGTGTAAATACAGTGGGCACACTTTTAGGGATCTTTTTTCCTAGCAGGGGCAAGAGATAATTCTAATAAAAAGGATAAGAGATTTAATGTTGTCGTTGCAGCTCCATGTTGATCCTCAAGTTTCAGCCATGCATGGACTGGTCAGCTTCCACAGTGACCAGAGCAGAGCTGTTGTTTCCTCAGGCTTCAGCAGTGTCAGCTCCTGGAGTGTCTACAGCAGGGCTGTCATTTTGGGTGGTGGCCCAATCTCCATGCAGGATCAGCCAGTTTGGATGGTCTGGATCCAGTTGACTGGCTCTTGGACTGCCAGATCAACTGACTGTGGTGGATCTAAATTTCAATGTTGAAAAATAAAATAAAATAAACCACAGTGTTGGCACTTTTAGCAGCAGTAGGAATAGACAAGATACAATGTGGAGCTCATCCCATTTGGACACCAAGCTGTTTGGATTTTATTTCTTAACGCAGAGTCCCCAGCCTTCAAGGGGTGTATTGGGTCTGTCAGACTTACAGGTGTTTTCTTTCTTGTACCCAGTGATGAGTACATTTAATGGTCATTTCTAAAGCCTGCATCTGTCTTTTTATGGCTAGTTTCCCTAGTTCACAGAGATCACCCTTGATTTGATCATTTGATCTATAATTGAGGGCAGACAGCTAAACAAGATTTCAAAGAAAAATACATAATTTGTTTCCTCCTGAGAGGACCATGGACAGGACTTGATCCTATCTCCAGTAGATTTCTTGGCAATATTTTTTAACAATCATTGAAGTGTTCAATTAATATAGTCCACTTTTTCTGAGCTCTGTGGCCCAGTAGGCTGTGTATAACTTTAATTTTATTTTTAACATTCATGTGAACTGCTGGACCAAAACTGCTCCCACCTGTGGAATATTCAACACCTGGGTCTCTGAGGGGTGATCTGTGAGATTCCCTTGGCTCAGGAGTACTTCATCCACAGTTTCCACACAGTCATGAAGGGAAGTCCTGGTTCAACTGGGAACAAAGTAGCTAGGTTTAGGGTGTTCACTGTTCCTAGAATTATGCACGGATTTTCACATAGAAGCCCCTGATCTCCAGTTACCCTTGGCTCTGACAACCAATGATGCCCCTTCAGTCCATTAAAGCTATGACTGAGTATGGTACTTGAATGGTCAATGTTGTCCCAGAGTTGGTCAACCTTGTGCATCACCAGGGCAGTGGCAGCAGGTGCTTTGAAGCATAGAAGCCATCATACTGCCACAGAGTCTAATCATTTTAACAGGTGTGCCCTTGAACAGTGTCAGGAGCTCATGACCTGGGTTAAGACCCCAATGACCATTCTCTTTAATTCATGGACAAATGGGAAGAAAGGATTAGTTATATCTGGTGGCTCTAAGGCTGGGGCCTGGGTCATGGTTTTTAATTGCTTGAAATGTTTCTCTTGGTCAGCTTCTCAGCAGAGGGGCTCTCTTTACTCCCCATTTCCCTTTATGGCTTCATATAAGGGCTTTGCCATAATTGAGAAATTTGGGATCCAGACATGAGAGAATACCACTGCCACAAAAAAAGTCTCTTATCTGATGGTGGGTGATTGGGATTGGGAGGGCATAGATACCCTGTTTTCTTTCAATATCCAGTCGGCACTCCACTCATGTCAAGTATGAAGCTCAAATATTTGACATCATGTTGGCAAATTTGTGCCTTCTTGGACACCTTATATTTTGTCTTCCAAAGTATATGAAGGAGATCTTTAGTTCCTCTGATAGCAGTTCATGTAGGTTGGGGCTACCAAAAGGAGATTATCTATATATTGTAGCAAAGTGCTACAAGATGTGCTCTGCTGTGATGAAGGCTGTGATGCTGGTGGCTAGTGCCTCTCCAAAGACTGTAGGAGAGTACTTAAATCCTTGGGGAAGTCTAGTCTAAGTGAGCTATTCCTCTGTGCCATGACAGAATCCTTCCATTGAAATGCAAAGATGAACTGGCTGACTACTAGGCAGAGAAAGGAAAAAGCATTTTTCATGTCTAAGCAAGTAAAACAAGCAGCTTTTGCTAAAATGAGTGCCATAAAGTAAATACAGATATGGGAGAGTGGGTGGATGGTTTTAGTGGCCTGACACCACATGCAGGTCTTATACTGGTTTTGTATTTATTTATTTTTCTTTACTTTTCCAATTTTTAACAAATTTTAAAGACACTTCCGGGAGAACATGGCGGACAGATAACAGCAACTACCGGAGGCTCTCTGAAAGACTCGGCTCAGAAGCCAGGAATGGTGCGGACTATGGAGACATAAGCAAGTGGAGATATGCTCTGCTGACTCAGGAACGAACTGGGCTGAGAGAAACCAACTTGGAATGCAGTCCTGGTGCTAAAACAGGAACAGAAAAGCCTCGGTGTGGAGGCTGGACCCCACGCCATTGTAAGCCGCGATTTGGGTTTCCCGCCGCACAGCGGCTGGCTGCCTCTACAGTGGCTCGGCAAGGAAAGAGACGCGCAGAAGCTCTGAGAACGGCAATCTGCGAACGGCAGGGAGGCGTGCACTGACTTGTGGTGAGGTGAGTGAGAGAAACTGACACTCTACCACAGTTTGACTCCAGCAGAGGACTTTCTGGGCCCGAGCAGTCCTGCGGGAGCAGGGCACGGTGGC